TCACTCTTACCCTCTCTCTCTTCCCTTTCCCCCTCCTTCTACCTCTCTCTCTTCCCTTCTCCCCTCTCTTTCTTCCCTCCTTCTTCCTTTCCTCCTTCTCCCTCTCCCTCTCTTTCAATTATCCTCTTCTGTAAATAAAGAATAATAATCCCCTCATCCTTTTCCCCTCGCCTCTTGTCTCCCCTCATCCTTCCCCGGCCTTCCATCACTCTTTACATTTCGCAAACTTTTTTTCTTTAATATATCAGAAACAATGTTAATACCTTACTCCTTACCCCTTAGCCTCCCCCCCCCCCCCCCTTTGCCCCCTCGGGTTTCTCCCTCCCTACCTCTTTTTTGCCCTAGTTCGCCTCTTCCTTCGAGTTTCTCTCTTATTCTTCTCTGTCTTTTTTCCCCTTCCTGTCTTTCCCGAAAATTTCAAATATTTAATCTTCTTTTATTTTCTTGTATATTCTTCATTTTTCGTCTCCAATAATCTTATTTTTTTTCTCCCATTACATTGAGATTTTTACGGGGTGTTTATTTTTTCCACTTCCTTCTCATGCTTTCCTTTTTTCATCGTCTTATTTTTCGGCTCCTCTGGCATCCCCTTACTCTCATCTTTATTTGCGCTCTACCCCCTTTCCTCCTTATTACTTTATTTTTACGCTTCCATTCCCACTCTTTATCCAACCTTTCCCCTCTCCCTATCACCTTCTTCCTTCTCCGCGGTCCTCTTCTCGGTAATTCGGTTTCCCTATATCACCTTTTTTTTCTCCTTGTATTTCTCCCCTCTTCCTCCCCTTCGTTCCTGCCTTATTCCTCTTCCCCCCCCATCTGCCCCTGCATACCCCCATGGGAGATGATTAATAAAAAAAAGAGAAGAGGAGGAAAGAGTAAGTATAAACAAATGATAAATGAAAGTATAAGAAAAAATAAGGGGGAGGAGGGAGGAGACGGGGTGAGAGGGAGGGGGGATGATGGGATGGGGGATAAATGCGGTTAGGAAAAGGATGCAGGGGGACGAGGTGGGGAAAACAGGCCACAGGATGGAGAAAAGCGGAAAGGAGAGGGGAGAGAGATGACGCATGATGGAGAGAGAAGGGTAGGCCGAGGAGGGAGGGAGGGAGGTGTAGAGGGGAGGGGAAAGGTGGGGGGAGGGAGAAGAGAGAGAGTGCAGAGGAGAGAGAGAGGGATGAGACGGAGGAGGGAGAGGAGAGCTCCAGGAGGAGAGAGTCACAGACGAGAGGGGCGAGAGCAGAGAGAAGAGATGATCTGAGAGGGAGATGAGAGTGAGGAGGACGAGACCTGTGTACCTGAGATGAGATGAGAGAGACAGCGTACGAGGAAGAGGAGGGAGGAGAGTAGGAACGAGAGGCGAGGGAGAGGAGACGGAGGATGAGATAGGACCGAGAGAGGGGAGAGGGAGACGGGAGAGGAGGAGAGGAGGAAGGAGGGAGAAAAGGAGGAGGGAGAGGGAGAGGGAGAGGGGAGAGGGAGAAGGGAGAGGGAGAGATGAGGAGAAGAGGATCGTTTCGAGAAGAGAAAGAGAGAGTGAGAGACACCTTCTGAGAAGAGGAGATGGAGTTGAGAAGAGAGAGAGAGGAAATTGAGACGGATCGGAGAATAACGAGAGGGAGAGGAGAGACCGCTGGTCGCCGACTGAGAGAGAGACCGAGGAAGAGAGAGAGAGAGAGGGAGAGAAGGGCATGAGAGGGAGATGAGTAGGAAGAGATGGACGGAGAGCGGGTAAGAGAGATGATACGGCAGAGAGAGACAGACAGACCAGAAAAGAGGAAGAAAGACGACAGGACAGCAAGGAGACAGTAGCAGAAGACAGAGAGAGGAGAAATGCCAAGACAGGAAGGGGTGTAAGCGACCCAAATGAGAAGGAAAGGAAAGAGAGAGGAGAGAGGAAAGACGGGAGGAGGCAGGACGGAGGGCGGAAGACCAAGGGACTCGCCCCAGACGCGGATGAGAGGTTCGTCATCGGGGGCGAGGGTGGGCGGTCGTAGGGGTGGGAGGAGAATGGTAAGAAGGGAAGGTGGGGATGACGGTCTCAGACGGGACCAGGGGGTACTATTAGGTCCTTTTTAGGACGAACCCCAAGTTTTTTTCTTAATCCAAATTACCTCCAAGTTGAAAGTTTTTTTCATTGGGGGTCTGCGGGGGCGATTGAAAGCAGGGGGGAGGATGAGGGGCGGGTCGGAGGGGGGACGAGGGATTAGAGGGTGAGGGGATGAGGGAGCGGAGTTAAGGGGTGAGGCGGCGGGGCCAGGGACGAGGGAAGGAGCGGTTGAGGGGGATGAGGAGAGAAGGGGATGATGACGGGCAGAGTGAGCTGATAGAGCGGGACTGAGGGACTGGTCGAGGACGCGAGGCGTGAGGGGGATTGAGGTAGCGGAGTTAAGGGGGATGAGGGGAGGGGGGAAAGGGGAGGGGGGAGCGGAGAGGGGACGGAGGGACGAGAGGTAGGCGGGCGATGAATGCAGGAGGGCAGTAAGGGGAATGAGGAGGGGACTGAAAGGGCATTATGAGGGGCGTGGAGGGCGTTAGGGGGACTTGAGCGGAAGGAGGCGGTATTCACCCACTATCGGCTTCGTGGAAGACTTACGGGGTATGATGGGAGGAACTCCTGTGGGAAGGATGCTGATGGCGAGGCGATAAACGATGGAGGGAGGAAAAGAAGGGAATAACGGTTCGGCGGAGGCGGTTATGAAGATGGTGTGATAAGCAGGAAATGAAAATGGGAAATTGACAATGAGAAAGGGAAAAAAATCTGTGGTCGGTGATGATTGAAGTGCAGGTAAGGAGGAGGAGGAGGGAATGGAAGGAGGAATGGAGGAGGAGAGGAGCAGGAGGAAGGGCAAGGGAGGTGAGGGACAGAGGAGGAAAGAGGAGAGGAAGGACAGAAGAAGAGGAGGAGGAGCGGGGAGGAGGATTGGGGAGAAGAAGTAAAGAATAAACAAGAAGAAAAAGGAAAAGAAGACAGAGGGGGAATGCCCCGTACGACTGGATACAAAATCGTACCAGACAACAGCGGGGACGGGAAAGAAGATCAAGAAACAGAAACAAAATTTAACGAAAGGATAATGCGGATGAGGTATGGAATGAGGAAGGAAAAATCAAGACCGGAGACGGATAAGAAATAACATAATAAACATACCGCGGACTGGACAACGACCAAAAACGAGGACGAAAAAACACCAAAGAGAGAAGGTTTGATAACGAAAAAGACGAAAAACGTAAAACAGAATAATAAAAATAATAATGGGGTCATTTAAAACAGAAAGGCAAAAGTGAATCTTTCTGTGGATACCAGCGGACATAAATATATATATATATACATAGCGAGAAACCGAGATTTAATGGAGGGCCACATACATAAAAACAACAAACGAATAATAAATAAAATTGAAAACAAAGCGAAAAACACAAAACTCCGTAAAGTTAAAACCCGAAGAAGAGCCGAAATACACCAACCGAAAAACACGAAATAAAAAATTAAAAAATAAATCCCTAAGACCCAAAACGTC